ATCTACCTAATGTATCACTATATGCCGTTTTCTCCATGGCTGATCTTTTCAATTGCGTACAATACGAAGTGTAGCTCCACCACGACTTTCCGTTTGCTTCCACTGTAGCGCTAAGATTTGTATTACCCCGGTGTCCACGGCTAGGAAAATGACCATGAGCTCGGCGGGGGCGAGTCACAGGTAAGAGAGAAACCTGTGATGGCCCACTCATGGCTGACGTGGCTCATTCCATTGGCAGTGTCAATCGTCCCGCTGCGCATGTCCGTGTGGCGAGTGACGGCGCGCAGAGGTAAGAAAGAATCCACGCCGCCACGAGCGTGGGAGGATCATATCAATGCTTGCCCTTCATGAAAGGAGACTGCCACGCTCTGATTGTTCAAAGTTCTATTTACACGTCATTATATACACATACATCCATATATATATATATATATATATATATATATATATATATATATATATAATACTCTTTACTAAACGAGTCACCGATTGCGATGAAATTACACGCATTATAACACTGAAGGAGGGAAATAAGCTTAAGTGGCCTAGAACTTTTCAGCACTATTGTCTGGGGACGCAGTTGGGGGGGGGGGGGGGGGAATTTGTGGACACACTCCACCGCCTCCCAATTGTATGAACGGTCATTTTAGTTTAGTTTTCAAGTTCCTTTTCCTTATTGCGCTGTTTCCTCCGCGTAAAAATTCCGCCTAAAAAACCGCTCACTGGAGACGTAAACTCATCAAATGAGCTTTATACGACGTCAGATAACCGTCAAACTGAGTGTGTGCATCAGCTTGTTTATTGGACGGATCAAAGAAATAATTGAACTTATTAATATTAATAAAAACGTATTTTTTATTGGCAAAACAGTATAATGCAGTTCAGGGCATTTACAACCTAACGATTCATTTTTGTGTACAACTTTGCTATTTTGTCAGTGGTACGTTTTGCTTTAAAATGTTTCTTTACGGCACCGAGCATTGCCAATCATCTGGGTTGGCGGCCCGGAGCGTGTTGTGTGAGAGAGATTGTGATGAACTGATAAGTGAAGGTAAACTTGAACGCAACACTCTGTGCGTGAGTAGTGTCAGTAGAAGCTAGCTACCTGCGTACGCATGTCTCTCGGTCGAGGGATGTAGATAAGGCATACCTAATTTTGCATGGGTGACTGCCCAACAGTGCATGTAGTGTGTAGGGTTATGAATAGGGCATGAGACTGAATGTCTAGATTCTGATCACTTGGTATTTTATGCTGCGAACATGTTCAGCTGACTGCAGTTCACATTTTGTAGTAGAATTCCAATATCAGACCTCAGTTCGGGGACAATATCATTGAAAATAAATGTATTTCACTTTTGAAAATGAATGATATTATTAAGATTCCACAACATTTTATGGAGCAGTAGCCGAGCAAACTTACATTGCGGGATTGGTTTATGTAACTGTTAGGGATAAACGCAACATATAAAGGCAAAGTATTTGAATTTAAATGATTTCACATTTTTAGGGTACATTTGCCTGACAGGGGGTGCCACAAATGAAACAAAATAGTTCTCTCTTGCAGTCAAGATTCAGACTGGCTGATTCACACCATTGGCATCTTTGCGACGCTTTGATCTTGATCTTGAAGATCTTGCTATCATCTTTGCCATACTTTGCAGGCTGGTTAATTGCTGGAAAGCAATTTCCACCAGGTAGATTGAGCTGGCGTCCCATAAAAAGCAAGCCATAGCATGTGTGACTACAAGGTGTCTTGACTCATGCAAGTAATGCATTCTTTTGTAAGAAATTGGTGTGCAATACCGATACCTAGAACAAATATTAATATACCGTGAAAGTATGGTGTGTATGAGGTGAGAGGTATTCTTAAGAGAAAGAGGCAAAGGATAGTCTTAAGGGAAAAGGCAAGGGGTAGTCTTAAGGGGAAGAGGCAAGAGGCAGTCCCCCATATTCACTTTTTCAGTGCCATCAATGAGAAACCTTTGAGGACATTCCTCTTTTTGTTAATATTACAGGATTGCTGACTGAGAGGAAGGAATATAGTGCAATTCTTTAAAAATTTGATGGTAGGTGGAAGGTACATGAATAAGAGAAATCAGCAGGCTGCACAAATGTAATGTTTTTTCCGGCCACAAATCGTAACACACACACAGACACCCCGCCCTGAGGGGGGGGGGGGGGGGGTCCACGCGCTAGGTTTCTTTTAGGATAAGTCTATGGTGTCTTTTGCAATCGCGCCCAGATGTTCTCCAGCCTATGGTGCACACATGAAGCGCGTTTCGACGCCAGGAACATGTAACTAGCTTTTCTGGTTTCTGAGCAGTGGCGGTTTTTTGGGAACACTGCACGGCGACGCACGACCGGCGCGGGGGCAGGCGGCGACCAACCATGCCGCGGAACGCGCGGCGCGGGGGCGGGCAGCGACCAACCATGCCGCGGAACGCGCGGCGCGGGGGCGGGCAGCGACCAACCATGCCGCGGAACGCGCGTCGGCCCGCGCTGAGTCATAAATCATGCATATGTGCTCAAAACACATGAGAACATAAACCATTGTACCCTGAATTAACGCAGGAATGGCAGAATTAAGCAGCGCGCCGCCGGGATTACACGCAAGACGGTGAGGCAAGTCGGGCAATTTGACCGCCACCATAGCGCGTGATAACCTTCCGGGGCGCGCTCGGTTGCTCGGAGTCCCTTCACACACACACACACACACACACACACACACACACACACACACACACACACACACACACACACACACACACACGCACGCACGCACGCACGCACGCACGCACGCACGCACGCACGCACGCACGCACGCACGCGCGCACGCACGCACGCACACCGTGTGTGTGTAAATACGAACATGTACATATTCACATATTATTCATTTATTATTACATATTACACAGTCACATATTATTCACATATCATTCATTACACATGTGTGTGTAAACACGAACATGTACACATTCGCACTCCTACTCACTAATAAAAATCTTACAAACACGCACACAATTGCACGCGCTCACTTGCACGCACATTCAAATATGCGAATAATTGCTGTTGCCAGACCGTTTCAAACACAAGAAACGAGAATGTTGACTGAGTGTTGTAAGTTGTTTTTGTAACAAATACTTGAACGCAAGCAGGACAACGGTGGCGTTCTTGAAGCGCTGAATGTTAACGATTATCCAGGTAACGACCCGAATTCGTTCCTGCTACTAGTGAATAAGTCAAGGAACAGAACTTATATTGCTGGACATCTTTTAACTAAAATTGCTTGTGACATAGCCCTAATAACACCGGTTAACAAGGGCGCGCACTAGTTGCTACACTCCCTCCCCAAAAGACATATTTCTAAGTTTACTGTTTCTTTGCTCCATTCCGGAATCAGCCAACTTCCAGCAGAACGTGTGCCTGCGGCTGGGTAAGGCTCACCCTAAAACTTTCGTAGCCGTCCGTGGAGTGTTACGACCAGACGCACGTCGGAGAGACGTTGCGGGCGTACTACTCCAACCACATGATCAACGTCCTGTGCCAGTACACGCCGGCGCTGGAGGCGACGAACAGCTGCTGCCGCCGATGACGACGAAGCACACGCACCCGCGCTCGCCGCGCGTGGTCCCTATCGTGAGAGCGGTGACCTCCCCGGTGAAAGGACTTTTTTGACGGGGCTACTGGACTATTCGACTAGGGACTAATGGACAGATTTGACGGGGCTGACTCCGGACCTTCCCTCATGCTAAGCTGGTCATTACTAGCACAGCAAAGTTTCGCCCTGTTGCAAAGTTGTGTCCTGTTTTGCCCTGTTGTCCCCGGGACCGAGATCGCAGCCCGTAAACATATGTGGCGTTAATGATGGCATGGAGCAACGCTGGCGTTCGCGTGCACCGTGTGAATGATGTCCGATCGTGCCTGGCAGGTTCGCTGACATTGCATGACCGTGGCTGTATGAAAATAAACGTATGCCAGACATACGCCGCCTTACGTGTTTGTGCCCATCACCCGCTCTCCCCGTATTCCCCGCACTGCAAAGTGGGCAGAATGGCGTCCTTCTAGAACAGCACCACATATGGCACCGTTTCCACGGTGTTGTCTTTAAGGGCTGGTTTCTTGTACGTGATCGCTCTACTAAATGACAGCCTGGAGAAGGTAACTACACCAGACATTTCTAGATCACATCCAGTTCTGACTTTCTGGCCTGTGGAAGCCTTCTATAAAGCTGAAAACGGCAAGCCAGCTTAGCTTGGTCTCGAAACAGAGGTCGTGAGGACTGTGGACCACCCCGATGAAAGAAGGGCATCATTTGTAGCGTGGGCAATATTCCTATCAGCAAAAACCAAAATAACATTACATAATCCCGGCTTTTGGCATACCTTCAGCAGAATTAGACAACAACAAATTAGTAGACATCATCAGTAAGTACAAATTGCAATTTTGAGGTGAACATAAATCAGATCAGCTCGTTGCTGATCTACCTAATGTATCATTATATGCCGTTTTCTCCATGGCTGATCTTGTCATTTGCGTACAAACGAAGTGTAGCTCCACCACGACTTTCCGTTTGCTTCCATTGTACCGCTCAGATTTGTATTACCCCGGTGTCCACGGCTAGAAAAATGATCATGAGCTCGGCGGGGGCGAGTCACAGGTAAGGAGGCGAGTGGACTCGGACCTCTCCATCTGTAAACGTAGATTTGTACTACCCCGGTGTCCACGGCTGAGAAGCTGATCATGAGTCCGGTGGGGGGCGAGTCACAGGTAAGAAGGCGGACGGACTCGGACCTCTCCATCTTTAGACGTAGATTTGTATTACCAAGGTTTCCACGGCTGGGAAGCTGATCATGAGCCCGGTGGGGGCGAGTCACGGATAAGAATGGGGACGGACTCGGACCTCTCCAACTGTAAACGTCCCTACACTTCGCAAGACCTCAACTCGCTCGCCAAACCGCAAGTCTGTATTTCAAACGCCAAGCACCGTCTTCGTCATCCACTTCCGATACCCACCCCTAACCCAACACGGCGGCGGATGTGACGCGTCACACGTCGAACATCCAGAAGACGTCGCCATTTCTGACGCAACGGCTGACGTCAGCACGTCACTCAGGACGTCATCAGTACGCCACTCAAGCCAGACGTCATCAGCTACCACTGCCCATCCGTCGCCCCCGCCGCCCAACCAGTGCGCGACTGAAGTCCTCTCCCAGCACTCGCACACCACTCGGCGTGCGCCCCGCAGCGTCGGCTGCCGTCCGATATTCGACGGAGCTGAGCCACTGCTCATGGGAGGTAAGCCCGTGCTCACCCCGCAGCTCACAGCGACGACAGGTGAGAAGGCCAAATTGGTCGCCTGTCGACGGCCATTTTGTAGCCGCCGCACGCACCGGCATTATTTATGGGGATGTATAAAAGAGACGTCTCCAGCAGTGATTTTTGACATATAGTGCAATACCGCAATACAGGACAACGTTCAGCGGTGTCAGCAGCGCAGATTGGAACAGATTTCGCACAAAAACCGACATTCGGGCGGCAGAATGACTTCAGCATCCCAACGCAACAACTGACGAGGCCCATAAGGCACCGCGGCCGAAATTCGCCCGAATCGCCTAACGACGTACGGTATCAGCTGGGCCCGGACCCGGACAAGTCCACTTCGGTCGGTCGGGGGGTGGTCGAAGCCGGCGCCCGGCTAATCCGATCATCGGCCGACGCTCCGGGCGAGCCCACCCCGGCTGTACACCTTACCTCACTCGACCGTCCTTCCCTCTCACCTCCAGCCTCCGCCGACTCCGATCCATCATCACCCTGACCTCTGACTTCAACATCACACGCGCGGTCCACCCGCGCCACGTTCCCCTCGTGACCCCCGACCCCGACGGCCTTCTGATCCTCGCCGCCCTCGGCCGCGAGCTCGTGGCACTTGGCCCCGTTCGGCGCCTCGGGAATGCTGTTCCGCTGCTGGGCTTTCTGCCGTTTGGTTTTGCAGAGGATCCGGTGGCCGACACAGTCGAGATTCTCCTCGTAGCATTTGTTGCGACAGTGCACTCTGCACAGCTGGTACGGGCAGCGCTGGCCCTGTGCGAGCCACGGGCGTCGAGTTAAAGATCAGGTCACGGCTACGTCAATTGCTAAGTGCATGAGCGAGAAACTCTATTCACATAGATGAGACAGCGGTAATAGACTTATTCCTCGGCGAAAAAAACCAGGAGGCGGGGATATAGATGCGTTGATATTTCGGCTACATGTCTTCATTGAAACAATAGTAGAAGCTACTGTTTCTGCTATTGTTTCGATAAAGACATCTTACCGAAATATCAAAGCATTTATATGTCCATTCTCCTGTTTTTTTCTCTGAAGAATAAGGCTATCACTACTATCTTATCAGGCCAAAGCCACAAGGTTAGTCCGGCAAGTGGTAAGAACCACTTGCCTGAGAATTGGTATCAAGCATGACTGATATAACGCAAGTCAACCTGCAACGGTGGAAACGACACGATATGCCACACCAAATGCCGGGGAAGTTATCGCACTCTTCGTTCCTCGCACACGCCCCATCACCTTTCGGGGAAGAGCTGGAGAATGACTGACGCCAGCTTCTTGAATTGTCCATTATCTTTCCTAACACTAATATCACACATTCTCTGAAAGTTTTATGTCAAGATCATGCCAGGCCAGTGACCTAGGGCAGTTTCAGTGCAAGCATGTCGGACATGAATGCGAACGAACTTGAAAAATTGCAACGATTTGTAATCATTTGGTCTACCAGCGGTCTTCATGGCTTGCTTAGCTATCGACGTTACTCCTAGACGTTCCAATGACAAGCTGCAGTCATCGTACGACACTGACCTATATTGACCGCAAACTCTGACCCCTGATAACATGCCCTCCATAACAGCGTAATTTATTGTTGTAGTGACTTGTTATCGAACAGTATCGCTTCTACACCAATAAAAAAACACTTCTTCCTCAAACGTCATCCTAGGTCACTTACTAATCCGACCTGGAGGTCTCAATTTTGAAGCAATTTACACGATTGCATGATCATGAGATCTAATCTACGGCTAGCTGCTTCTGTTTTATTAATTTATAGCCTATTGCGCTCCTTCGATCAGTGCCACACTCTCACCCAAAGACGGTGCTGTAATTTCAGAAAAGTCAACATGAGTCACTGCCGTAACTTGAACCTAAAAATTGAGATTAGTTCAAGTGTGTGGCCTATGATGGCTTGTGTTCAGTACCCCGGATTAAATCGAGTCATATCTTTCAGCACACTGAACGTGCTAGGCTCGTCGACGACGCCGAAGCTGAAATAAGCTGAAGAGGCCTTATTTAAAATAAACCTTACCGAACAGGAAGCACATGACTATCTGACATAACATGACATCTGACATATCATTTCCTCAAACAGGAAATTAACTGAGTCAATAGTATTCTACTAATAGGCTGGCACGAGCCATCAAGTAGTTTCGTTGACCTCCACCGCTCTTCACAATTCGAGGGTGGGTACCTCTCCTGCCTTCTCCCTCCAATTCAGCTCGAAGCTGAGGCGGACCACCGTCAGCGCGCGGGATAAGGGGGTCAGAGGCGGCGTGTGCTCCCCTCGGTCCACATAGCACATGTCACAAGTCACATCAGTACATCACATCGCACATCAATTTCCCTCGCAAGTCACATTTGTGTCAATTTCACGCCTTTTCACAGAGAATGGGACTGTGCCCCTGGCTGAGAGCACCGTATCCTCTGAGCCCATCGACTGGCCGCCGCCTCTCACCCTGGGGTTGCAGCAGAGGCCGCAGCGCTCCATCAGCACGCGGTTGACGCCGATCTTGACGCCGCGCGCCATCTTCTTCTGCTTGCGCTTGCTGACAACGGCGGCGTCCTCCTGGCGCGGCCGCTTGGTCTCCGGCGGCGGCTGATCCGTCAGCAGACGTAGCTGACGCTCGCGCCGCTGCTTCTCCTGGTTCGCCTGATGACCGGCAGGGCGCGTGAGCCGACGCTCGGCTGGCGAACGTATTCAAATGCGCCTGCCGGCCGCACTGGCGCAGGTCGCGCGAGCTCATGGTGTTTTTAGCTTCGAAAGCTTTGTCCGTTACAAAACGGGTACCGTATGAGCACTTGTTTGTTACAAAGCCTGCTTAGCTGTGGTCATCCGCATCTGAAAAGCCCCGTTCGCCATGCGCATCCCCCGATATCTTTGCTTTGATTTTCGCGTAGCAAACAGCAGGAGCAGTTCGGTTCACAGTTCAAACAGCTCTGCTCACGTATCTCTGCTCTAGCACAGCTCACGGGCAACTTGTCCGGGCTCAGTGGGGAAGCCAAACGAAGGGATGCTGGTAGCTAAACTAACAGCAAATGCGTGAAGCAAAATCAACACCACTGCGGGCGTCTAAGGTATTGCAACTTTTGAAGAGGGCGTTCCATTCTCGTATGGGGTTTTGAACTGAACTAGCCATCTTGGAGATCATTCGGTGCAGTTCAAAACACTGTCTTTCTTAACACTTTTCAGGCTACACGCCTGAATAAGCTACAGACTATTTCGTGCGGACTATTTCAAGGTCACCTAGGCATCCATGACGCCATTACGTCACTCGAATTCTGCCGTTCTACTGGACATGCAGCAATCACGGTAAAGAAAAAAACAAATTGTCAAATTGTTCATATCCGGCGTTCGTGAGCATAATTTGCAGATAACAGCCGTCAATTGGCTCTCAATCAATGCGATGTAAGGTACGATGACACAATCAAGCAATCACGTGTTGAGGAGCATATTTACTAAATGAAGAAATCGTGTTGTCTAGAAAAGTCTTTCCCACCTGCGCATTCCCAGAAAAGTGTACCAATAGTTGCAAGTGAGCCTTTTGCATGAAGTGAGATGCTTTTCTCAATATCTTTAAATGTTGAACACTCCCTTCAAACCTTGCACCCCATTCTCACACTAGTAAACAACCGGGTAAGGTATAACCAGCGCGTGTGCCCATATAAGGACTGCGTATTCCCTGATAGTGTCCCGTTCGACGAATCCGAGTGCGCGCCAGATGAAGCACTCATCGTCCGGGGCATAATCCAAGCACACAGGGAACTCACAGCCAGCCGCTTCGACGTGCATTTTCGCCGCACTCTCACTAGCCCCTCCCTCCCCCCTCCCCCAGTAACAACACAGTACCGCGATGTTTCGTGACTAGACATTCCTGACCAACAAGTCTGACGTCCGCTACTGCTGGTTCAGTCTCGCCCGCATCAAGCGCCGTCTCACTCTCGCCCGCCGCCTGCCTCGAGGCTCGCGACATGCCGGCTGTCTTCCTGGCGGGCACACGTACCTCCATCTTCTTAAGGTGCTGGGCGATCGGCTCGCGCTCGTGCGGCTGACACAGGAACGGCGAGAGAGGTAGCCGGCCCGCCACCTCGTCTGGCGGTGCCACACACGAGCTCAGGTCAGGTCACGGTCAATGCGTCTCCTGGCACTGCACACAGGTCATGTCGAGTCACGTGGTTGCGTCGGATTATGGGGAAGTCGATGTTATAGCGTGGACACGAATAAAGGTTATGCCAGGTCAATGTCACATCAAGTTGTTCAGCAAGGGTCAAGTCTGACTAGGGTCAGATCAGGTAAGTGATTGCCTGGGCAAGGTCAATCAGCAATGGTGTATTCAAGCTCAAGTCGGGTCAGGGTTCAAAGAGACAACAGTCAAATCGCAGATATTACCAGAAGATGTCAGATAAGCAAAGCTTACATCAGCAATAAAAGGACACACAATCAGAACAGCTTTGTTCAAATCAGATCATCTGCAGCTAGATCAGTGTCAGGTCTATAAAAACATCATTTACCTCAGAGAGATCAGAACACTTGTCTTGGGATAACCAGAACAGCCAACATTAAGGACGCCATCAGAAACGGATACACAACTTCGTTGCCAATGAGGACCGCCTCCAACAGATTCGGATGCCATTTAGCTCCGGTCGCAATGCCAAGGTATGCAGAACATCGGCGAGGCCGCTGACCTCCAGGTCCGGGACTCCACACCGGTCCTCCCTCCTCCGTGTAGCGATGATAGCGCTCTCGCAGCAGGCTGACGGCCTCCTCCAGCTGCTCCAGCCGATTGGCACGCGCCGCAAGCGCACGTACGTCGTGATTGGCCGGCATCAGGAGACTGCGAACCAATCAGATGCGGCGTTCGTGATTCAGGGTCTCCGGCTCGATTCCCGTCACGTCGTTTTTTCCGGAGCACACTGAGAGATGTGGGATGGGACCTATCGCGTCCAAAGACGCTAATCCTGTCACTGTGGAAGAGGCATGCCTTCAAGTCATTCTGCTTTGTGCGGCAGTATTTGTATCACTGAAATATTGCAACTTGTCACGGCAGAAGTGGGAGAAACACCATCAAACGCCTCAGGAATCGTTTGTGTTCCGCGGCTCCAACAGCTATACTGTGATCTCTGACTACAATAGCGGCAGTGCTTTGACTAACGCAAGGTCAAGTTCTGATGAATGAATCAGCAACGATGTCTGCGGCCCTGGCACCACGACCAAAGGATAACTATCAACGCCTGACGTGGCTGACCACAGCACAACTATCAACGCCTCATCCGACCCCCACCTCCCTCAGGTTCACGGCCCAGTCAGCCCCGCGCCCCTTCCCTCCCGGCTAAGTGCCCACGCACCAATAGTGGAGCATTTTGAAGACGTGGCCGCGCGCGTAGCTGAGCGGGCACGGGTAGCGGCGCACCAGCCGGAGGTACTCGTCGGCCACCTCCCACACGGTCGGGTGCGAGCCCGCGAACAGCGCCGGGTTGTGCAGGTTGCCCTCCGCCGACATCACCTGCGGCGCGCACACGCTTGGTCAGAAACGCCACCGCTTGCTATTTGAAACGATGCGCCCTGTCTGGCAGAAGAGGTAGGCATGCTTGCTGGTATGCTTCTAGTGAAGGAATGTCCGTGATCATCCTCGGGGTCCGCTTCCACGCAAACAAAACGACAAGACCAGGCGCTCTGACATTACACGAGTCAGTTATCACAGCACACTTCGTTTAACGACACACTCTTCATCGTTGATGACACCTAAATCAAGCGTTGTGTGCGTCATTGGGGTTTTACGACGCACTCAGCTGCTGAGGCTATAAGGCGTCGCCTGCCTCTCACCCTGGCAGGAAGGGCGGGCACCGTGGGGTAAACCAAGCGTTCGAAGTGCAGCTGGCACCGGTCCGGCTCACACGCTGACGCCATACGACATTAACGCCGTGTTCGTGTTCTCGCCTCCCCGCACCCAGCCGGCGGGAGGTGCGTGTCCACACAGTCCCGGACACACACCCGAACACACATCCGGACACACAGTTCCGGACACACGTCCAGCCAGGCTGGCGGACCCGGCGCGTGTGACGTCACACCGCTTCCGACGCAAGTGACGTCACACCGCTTCCGACGCAGGTAACGTCATGGAACACTCAGACACATAAACACACAGCTGGATACCTAATAAGAGCGTGTTGTGCACTTGTCGTGAGGATTAATGCATCTAATAGTAGAGTGTTTGGCGTGAGCGGAGTCGGCGGTCATATCAAATTGCGTAATGTGCGTGCGTGCGTGCGTGCGTGCGTGCGTGCGTGCGTGGTGCGTGCGTGCGTGCGTGCGTGCGTGCGTGCGTGCGTGCGTGCGTGCGTGCGTGCGTGCGTGCGTGTGTGTGTGTGTGTGTGTGTGTGTGTGTGTGTGTGTGTGTGTGTGTGTGTGTGTGTGTGTGTCTGTGTGTGTGTGTGTGCATGCATGTATGTATGTGCATATATATATATATATATATATATATATATATATATATATATATATATATATGTGTGTGTGTGTGTGTATATATATGCACTTTCCAAGCACGCAATAGGATGCGTATTTACGTAGCATGTACACGCGTGCATGGATTAATTTACAAAGGGCTAACGGAAACGTGTTCTTTCGGACTGCCGCGTCGTGCACTAGCAGGCGCAAACACGGACAGACGCCCGTGACAGGCACTGGCTCTTTCTCAGTGATGCAGTCCACTCACGCCCTGCGCCCCGGTGTACTCCAAGCAGCGGTGCACGTCGGCCAGGTACTGGATGTTGCCGTTGGCGAACACGGGGATGCTGACCGCCTCCCTGGAAAACGGTGCGAGGACGTTAGGACCGGACGGCAGCCAGCTCCACCCCGCTGCACCGAAACACGGCGTCCGAAAACCGAAACTTGGTGTCCCATCGAGCGACAGCCCAGCGCGTCTTATATGCAGCACAGGACATCATTGTGACAACAAAGACGGCTACCGAAGCTGTCATCTACCGCAGCGGGGGCAGCTGGTATCGGGGATGGCCCAGCATCGAATGCTGACCCAGGTGGCGAAAACCAACCGGTGGAAACCCAAAACAGCACCTTGAACGCCGTCACCACCAACACCCACGCATCGGTACCTGCTCCAGAACCGAGCCTGAACACGCCGGCCGAAAGCGGGCGCCCGATCGGAGGTTTGAGTGGGAGCCTGAGCGGGCGGCGCCGGGCGGCGGCTCACCTGACCGCCTTGATGGCGTCCCAGCTGGCCAGCCCGGTGAGGGGCCCCTTCATATCGCGCGTGCGGCCGTGCACCGTCAGCAGCTGGCAGCCGGCCGACTCCAGGCATCCGCGGCGTACCTGCGGTGGCGCCGCCGCGCCAGGGACGCCGTCACACTGCGGCCAGACGCCACCCCACCGCGGCAACGGCCGCGCTTCCGCCGCGCCAGGGGCGCCGGCACACCGCGGCAGGCAGCAAATTGAAACAGTTAGTGGCAGCAGCTGGGGAAATGCTTCTAGTGCCTGGGTGTCTATCTGAACATGTATGTGACCTGCTTTCCAATAAAAGGCACGTAAGCGATTGAGCTCGCGGCATACGGTGTGCAAACAGGAGACATCGGGCCGTTCGGGTGCTGAAAAGGAAGACCAACAGGAGCAGGACAGGAGGACCGACACTCTGTGCCACTCAGGTGGTACAGGACCAGTTGGGGGAGGAAGGGCGGGAGGAGGACTGACACGCCATGCCACTCAGGTGGTACAGGACCAGAGAGAGGAGGACAGGAGAAGGACCGACACGCCATACCACTCAGGTGGTACAGGACCAGATGAGGAGGACAGGAGGAGGGACCGACCGCCGTGCCACTCGGGTGGTACAGGACCAGGGAGGAGAGAGAACAGGAGAGGAACGACACGCCGGCACTCAGGTGGTAAGGACCAGATCGGAGGAGGACAGCAGGACCGACACGCCGTGCCACTCGGGTAGTACAGGACCAGATGGGAGGAGGACAGGAGGAGGACGACACGCCGTGCCACTCGGATGGTACAGGACCAGATGGGAGGAGAACAGGAGGAGGAACGACACGCCATACCACTCAGGTGGTACAGGACCAGATGAGGAGGACAGGAGGAGGACGACACGCCGTGCACTCGGGTGGTAGGACCAGATGGGAGGGAACAGGAGAGGAATGACACGCCATACCACTCAGGTGGTACAGGACCAGATGAGAGGAAGGAGGGAGGACCGACACGCCGTGCCACTCAGGTGGTACAGGACCAGATGAGAGGACAGGAGGAGGAACCGACACGCGTGCCACTCGGGTGGTACAGGACCAGATGGGAGGAGGACAGAGGACGACCGCCGTGTCCACTCGGGTGGTACAGGACCAGATGGGAGGAGGACAGCAGGACCGACACGCCGTGTCACTCGGGTGGTACAGGACCAGATGGGAGGAGAACAGGAGGAGGAATGACACGCCATACCACTCAGGTGGTACAGGACCAGATGGGAGGAGGACAGGGGAGGACGACCGCCATGCCACTCAGGTGGTACAGGACCAGATGGGAGGAGGACAGGAGGAGGACCGACCCGCCGTGCCACTCGGGTGGTACAGGACCAGATGGGGAGGACAGGAGGAGGGACCGACCGCCGTGCCACTCGGGTGGTACAGGACCAGATGGGAGGAGGACAGGAGGAGGACCGACCGCCGTGCCACTCGGGTGGTACAGGACCAGGTGGAGGAGAACAGGAGGAGGAACGACCGCCCCACTCGGGTGGTACAGGACCAGATGGGAGGAGACAGGAGGAGGAACGACACGCCATGCCACTCGGTGGTACAGGACCAGATGGGAGGAGACAGGAGGAGGACGACCCGCCGTGCCACTCGGGTGGTACAGGACCAGATGGGAGGAGGACAGGAGGAGGACCGACCCGCCGTGCCACTCGGGTGGTACAGGACCAGATGGGAGGAGGACAGGAGGAGGACCGACACGCCGTGCCACTCGGTGGTACAGGACCAGATGGGAGGAGGACAGGAGGAGGACCGACCCGCCGTGCCACTCGGGTGGTACGGGACCAGATGGGAGGAGGACAGGAGGAGGACCGACCCGCCGTGCCACTCGGGTGGTACAGGACCAGATGGGAGGAGGACAGGAGGAGGACCGACCGCCGTGCCACTCGGGTGGTACAGGACCAGATGGGAGGAGGACAGGAGGAGGACCGACCCGCCGTGCCACTCGGGTGGTACAGGACCAGATGGGAGGAGGACAGGAGGAGGACCGACCCGCCGTGCCACTCGGGTGGTACAGGACCAGATGGGAGGAGGACAGCAGGACCGACCCGCCGTGCCACTCGGGTGGTACAGGACCAGATGGGAGGAGGACAGCAGGACCGACACGCCGTGTCACTCGGGTGGTACAGGACCAGATGGGAGGAGGACAGCAGGACGACCCGCCGTGCCACTCGGGTGGTTACAGGACAGATGGGAGGAGGACAGCAGGACCGACACGCCGTGTCACTCGGGTGGTACAGGACCAGATGGGAGGAGGACAGCAGGACCGACACGCCGTGTCACTCGGGTGGTACAGGACCAGATGGGAGGAGGACAGGAGGAGGACCGACCCGCCGTGCCACTCGGGTGGTACAGGACCAGATGGGAGGAGGACAGGAGGAGGACCGACACGCCGTGCCACTCGGGTGGTACAGGACCAGATGGGAGGAGGACAGGAGGAGGACCGACCCGCCGTGCCACTCGGGTGGTACAGGACCAGATGGAGGAGGACAGGAGGAGGACCGACCCGCCGTGTCACTCGGGTGGTACAGGACCAGGTGGGAGGAGGACAGCAGGACCGACCCCGCCGTGCCACTCGGGTGGTACAGGACCAGATGGGAGGGAGGACAGGAGGAGGACCGACCCGCCGTGTCACTCGGGTGGTACAGGACCAGGTGGGAGGAGGACAGCAGGACCGACCCGCCCGTGCCACTCGGGTGGTACAGGACCAGATGGGAGGCGAACACGAGGAGGACCGACCCGCCGTGCCACTCGGGTGGTACAGGACCAGATGGGAGGAGGACAGCAGGACCGACCCGCCGTGCCACTCGGGTGGTACAGGACCAGATGGGAGGAGGACAGCAGGACCGACCCGCCGTGCCACTCGGGTGGTACAGGACCAGATGGGAGGAGGACAGGAGGAGGACCGACCCGCCGTGTCACTCGGGTGGTACAGGACCAGATGGGAGGAGGACAGGAGGAGGACCGATCCGCCGTACCACTCGGGTGGTACAGGACCAGATGGGAGGAGGACAGGAGGAGGACCGATCCGCCGTACCACTCGGGTGGTACAGGACCAGATGGGAGGAGGACAGGAGGAGGACCGATCCGCCGTACCACTCGGGTGGTACAGGACCAGATGGGAGGAGGACAGGAGGAGGACCGATCCGCCGTACCACTCGGGTGGTACAGGACCAGATGGGAGGAGGACAGGAGGAGGACCGATCCGCCGTGCCACTCGGGTGGTACAGGACCAGATGGGAGGAGGACAGGAGGAGGACCGACCCGCCGTGCCACTCGGGTGGTACAGGACCAGATGGGAGGAGGACAGGAGGAGGACCGACCCGCCGTACCACTCGGGTGGTACAGGACCAGATGTCAGCCTCAGGGAGACATCCACACAAGCAGAATAACACTCCGATGCACGTCGTCTAGTGAGCCGGTAAAATACTCGACACAGTATCTGGTGTTCCATATAATCAAAACGAGCCCTTCATTGACTCATTTGCTATTGGAATCTCTGGACAAAAGAAGGCCGCAACGTAAATCTACTACTAAAAGGCGTGAAATCTACTACCTGCCGCTCGTACCACTATTACCTGGCACTACTACCTACGACACGGCACTACTACCTACTACTCGACACAACCTACAGATATGGCAGTCGTGACGCTTCGCGTCGTCTGCGCCGTGGCAGCACACGCCTCACACGAATACGCCGAATATCTCACCGGACGGTCTTCTCCAGATCATCAAACACCCGGATCTTGCACGTCACCGGTATGTCGGTCTGCGTGTGCACGACGTTCACTGTAAACGTGACGTCACATTTAGACACGACGCACAGGCGACGAATGCCCTGCTGTCGGCTCCAGGCATGGGAACGACGTCGGCGGCTGCGGCTTCCGCTTCGCCAAGTCGCAGGTTTCGACCAATGGTTTCGGATTCGGCTTTGGCTTTGAGGCATTTTCGACGGCGTACTTTCCTTGCGGCTTTGCCTTTGTGCCATTTTAAGCGGTTGCCTTTGGCTTCGGGACATTTTTAAGGGACTGCTTCTGTTAATTTTCGGGTGAGTCTTGAAGTATGGCTCCAGCCTCGGCTCCATGTTGGGGTCTACTTCACCACTAACATACCGACTTTCTGACTGCAATGGCGGCTTTGCTCCGAAGAACAGCATTACCCGTCCCACAATTTTCGAGGCTGCAACGTACAAATGGCGGAAGACCAAAACCAGTCCGTCATTCCTTGGATCAATATGACGAAGGCCGGGGAGCTAAATTTCTAAGACGTCGCGAACATGCCAACACAAATGGCTAGGACGATTGTACGTAAAATGCCGCACTCGTAATGCTAACACCTAGTCTCAATCGCTCCGAAAAGCGCTTGCTATGTTCCGTAATCCACACAGGCTTTGGCTGATACAAAAAATGGTTTGGGCAGCGCAAAGCGCTGTAAACTGGATTCGGCTTCAGCTTCGGCGCCGTGATTTTGAGCTGTTGGTGATTTGGCCTTGGCTTCGTGTTTACTAAGTACGAAACCACTGGCTTCGGCGTTGACTTCACGTTAGCAGAGTCCGCGCCCACCGGGTTCGGATTATCGGCTTCGACTTTGGTTTCCATGTCACTGTCTGGCCTCGGATTCGGCAACTGAACCGGAAGTCCAGCCTTGTCCCCGTGCCTGGTAAGCCCAACACTGGATCGCCCGGCCCGCGGAGCATCAGAGGACCACCGCGCGGTCACAAGTCCGCCCAGCTCGTAACGCATGGCTGAAAGCGGTTTTCACAACTCGGGAAAGCCCAGCTCTCCATCCCCAATCGCACAGACAAACCATTCCAGAAAGTCCCAAGTTTCTCACTCCCTAATACTTCGGCTGGAGCCTTACCTGCCGTCACTCTCCGCATCTCCGAAGCCCTGGCACACCGCAACTTCCCGCTGGGTCGGACCCAGGCTTTTCGAACGCTTCGGCCAAACCCCACCTGTAACGCCGCCTCCCCCCCCCCCCCCCCCCCCCTCTTCCCGGTGACCAGTGCCCACCGCTCACCAAGCTGCCGCACCAAGTCCCACTCGTCCTGCAGGAAGGCTCCGTAGTGACCGCGCCGGGCGATGGACTGCGGGCAGCCCAGGTTCAGGTCGAGCGCGTCGAACCGGCCGACGCAGTGGCGGGCAGCCTCCAGCAGCACCGCCGGACTGTTGCAGCAGAACTGCCACCGGAGGGCCGTCAGGCGGTCCGCTCGCGACAGCGGGAGGGCGGAGCGCACCGTGCCAGACGCCGACAGAGCGTGCAATATACTAAAATGGGGTCAAAACCGCCGCAGTCTTAGAAGGACTGCACTTGACCTGGGGTATTTGCTTATTGGGGCGCCTGCAGTGGCGGTGTAAGGAGCACACTGTTGCGCCCCCCGTCAGGGGATCTGCGGCGATCGTACTGCTACAGCAGGGGGACTGAAAAACACCATGTGACGAGCATTCTCAGGAGAAATGAAGCACATGAGTGCAAAATGGGCCAGGCCAGAGCTGATGTGGTTTCTTTGTTGTTGGACTGCTGGTTGTCACAAAGTTTGCTAGCGACGGCAAAAGACATAAGCCTCAGTACACTTTACAGCAAGGCTGGGCATACAGCATGGTCCCCAATCATCATCAACAGGACCAAGCTGCTGTCCCCACCATCCCCATCCCCCTTCTCCTCTCGTTGTACATTGGGGTGGTATACCAGGGTCATCTAGCATGCTGTCTCTGGCCCCAGGGCGGAAGCGGCGGGGTATTGCGGCGGCCACAGTAGGTGTCGCGGCACGACAGCCACCAGAGGCGGATCCAGCATTACATCTCAGAGTGACCAAGGACCATTTGGGGGAGGGGGAGGGCAATTCTACAGTGGATGCAAACTGCACAAAAGCTAAGCAGACTGATAACACAGAAGTTTTAGTCGTATTCCTCGAAGAAAAGCCAAGAGAATGGAGATATCGATGCGCTGATATTTCGGCAACACGCCTTTGTCGAAACGCATAGCAGAAAAGGCATGATACAGGCATGTTGCCGAAATATCCGCGCATCCGCCTCCATTCTCTTGGTTTTCTCCGAGAAATAAGGCTATTGCTACCGTCTTATCTCAGTGAATAACGTTCCTCGCAAATACACTTAACTACTTACTTGGCAAACTAGTTCAAATGTAACCACTTCTCACAATCACATGATAGAATGTGCTGCTGGTCCTGTTGGCTGGCGTCAGTTTAGCCCTGCTCACCTGCACAATGAGCGGCCGGTCCTCTGGGTAGGTAGTGAGGCACTCGCGCCGGTATTTCACATCGTTGACGAACACACTGGCATGGAACATGGGCGTGTAGCAGAGCTCAGCACCTGTAACATTGTGATTACTTTTATTGCCACGCCAGAGCACGGATGGACATAGTGTTGTTGGTATACACTGCCTGCCTGGTGGTGTCAGATGATGTTCGCGACCAGCTGAATATGCCAAAGCCTGATGGGCTTTGACTGAGCCAATGTGACTTTTTAAGTCACGGGCTGCACAGGCTAACAATGATCCAATACCACTGATGTGACAAAAATGTAAAAAGCCATGGTCAGCAGAACTGGGTCCAGCCTAATGTATCAGGCAGCACAGTCAGCTGCAGACTGTATGATACATTCACTAGGGTGACAATGAAAAAAATGGACACATTTTTTTGGACAAACAAGAAAGACCTTGCCATCTGACAATAAACTAGGCAAAAGCTCACAATGTGATAAATGCACTTTTGAACATTCATTAAATGCAGCTGATGAGCAGGGTCAAAATGCAGCCAAACATGACAGACACCTTTTCCTCAGTGACAGAACATGGGTGAGCTGGGACAGTCCTGCATCACTTTTTGCATCTTTTTTGTGTTAAATCACATGTACCATGCATGTATATCACATACTGGATTGGGTAACCAGAGCAGCCTTCCTGGTAATAACAGTGTTGGTGGGAAATGAGATCTGTGGCTGTTTTTTGTAACTCACTGTTGCTGGCAACAACTTGGTTAACAGTATTGCAGCATCTTTAAGGGAGCATTCCACATTTGCATGAGAGTTTAAACTGAAATAGCCATATCGAACATCATTTGGTGCAATTCACAGCCATGTCCTTCTTCTTACAACCTAAACCTCTCTAGTTTCTGAACTGTGCCAGCAAGGATGTGCAGACCTTTTTGTGAAAACTATTTCAAGGCACCCCAGGCATCCATGGTGTCATAACACTCTTCAAATCCTACCATGTCACTGGCCACACAATAATAAAGGCCAAACAAATATTACTGTGGAGTCTTTCATATCTGGCTACTTGTGAGCATGACTTCCAAAAATAGCAGTCTGGCTCTAAATCAATGATGTGCAAGGTATGATGACAACCAAATGATGACATTGTTTAGAGCAGTCATTTCCACTTAAAAGTATACCATTACTCATAAGTGAGCTTTTTCATCACACCTGATGCTTGCCTCAATATCTCCAAATATGGTACATTTCCTTCAAGGTCCAAACCATTGTTGTGTTCTTCAAATTACTGGTGCAACAGCTCCTTTCAAGAAATGACTGCTTCTGAGTGCACAAAACATCTGTCAACATCTAGCTTCTCACTTCATGCAGTTCGCTCAATGTACCAGTCTCCTTGATGTCAGCGCATCTAGTGGCTGATGTAGAACAGGTGCATGGTAACTGTTCACATTTAACACAATACAGATATGAATCATAACAGCCACCAGTATGAAGCTCTCTCAGCACTTACCATATTTTCTGCTGAGCATTCGCCACGCCGCCTCACTCTGGTCCACCATGGGAGCCACCACCATTCTAGCGGCACCCAGCCTGCCACGCCACAGCTCAAAGCCACCTGGCTTTCCAGCAGATAGTGCAGTATTCTCAGCCATGGCAAACTATCTCCAATGTGCCTGAGGACTGACAAAACATGGTTACATGATAAAACCAAATATTAATTATTGTGAACCATGCCAACACCAGCACAGGCATGGTATACATTGGCACCTTGTGTTAAAAAAGAGCATCCTACATCATTCGTCGTTTTTAAGGCAGAACATATTGTAAATAATCACAAAACAAGTCTAAACTTCGAAGGTAGTAGCATGAATCTACCTGCTTTATGATTATTAATGACTATGTTCCCCTTAAACACGACGAATGACACATACTTCAAGTAACTCCCAAAACCACTCTAATGAAATCCTGAAACTAGCCCGGCCTAGAATCCCACACTCGCGATTCGATGATGTATCACAATAAAATCATAGAATAGCTCGAATAGTTGTAGCCTTTTTGCAACAGATGCGTCAGAAATGTAAATTGTGTCAGCATGGACTGGATGGGATAGCTGAATGGAGCGGTTCGATAGCTGCGAAGTGTGGGGCGGCCGTCACATTAGTAAAGCCGAGAAATAGAGCCCGTTCTGACAGAAGCATTGCGACGCATGAGGCGAGGTCTCTCATCATGGGCGCAATATGTATTCTTTTGAGTAGGCCACTGCCCCCCCCCCCCAGCGACGTCCAATCTGGCCCCCTGCGTGTTTGGCTCCCCAAACTTCTGGAGCCCAACTACATGGACATTAAACATGTAAGCTCAAAACCGCATGACATATAAAGAGAGCTTCCGCCGATGTCCAGTTAAAAGCACCAGACCCACTTTTAGCCTTAAGGTCACTTTTAAAATTTCACTTGTCGTGCCGTGCTTGCTTGAATTTTGAATGTTTTTCGGCACTCTGCATGTCAGCTCTTATATAATTTTGTGCTATTCTGGGAGTGTTTTTTTTATTCAGCAGTGTTTTTAAGTCACACAGATCCCAGTGAGCCACCTTTCTTTGCTACGACGTCTTAGCGGAAAATGAAAACAAAGCGGCGGAATATTTGCGCCCAACAACGTGACCAGTTTATTCTACCGTCTACATTCGGAGGAACCCTTCATGAAACGTGTCGAAGTTCATTTTGACGTGAATGTTCGATGAAAGAGTTGCAAAAACCTGGCGATCGACTCCAGGGGACTAAACCAATAGCGGTAATCGTCCGACAGTGACCACAAGCACTAGCCGCGTCAAACATGCTTACCGGGAGTGCCGCGCCTGCACCCCACCTTGCGGAAATCAGCCTGGATTTCTAGGACGGGCATTATTAGTCGCGCAAATCAACTTACACTCTTTGCTCTCAAAACCGTACAGTTCAAAAACGTCTGAAGCCACATAACATCGAGCCCACGTCGATTACCGAAGCCTGGTTTCGACGATCGACACCAAACAAAGCTATAATGACGTCTAACGATAACGTCTCCCTCCGAGACAGGGCAAGGAAACTCCTAAGACCAGGGCTGTAATCATACCTGTTTACACATTGGGACTCTTCCTACACCTACATAGATCAATTTTACTGTGGGAAGGACTTCTAAGTCCATGACGTAGCCCAGAGGAAATTGGGCCAAATCCGGCAAGAAACCTGTTTTTCAGTGCATTTGGTGCTCGGGGCCCGCTCGATCTACCGTCGGCACGATTGTCAGCTGGTATGCATGGCGTCATACGTGCTGACGGAGCGTTCGAATTGTGGGCAGTCAGGAACGTTTTTTTTAACTCTACCTTCCTTGTTCAGTTTACTTTAACCACTTCAGACCACGCAATAACTCTGGCTTACTGCCGACCATGACCCACTTCCCATAAAGGGGTGTCTGTAAGTGTGGATCCTGTTCTGACATTACCATCATCTATCCGATCGATAATTTGAGCGCTTCTTCCTATTCCCATCTCATTTCAATTTCTTTCTTCTCATTTTAAATGTTCACTCACGTTTGTGTGGCGAAGGTCGGTCGATCCTTCATTGCTCAATGCGCTGGCATGAAGCCCATCCTTTCATTTAACTCCCGCTTGTGCTGACAAAGCCAACGTTCAAGACCTGCGGCGTTTCATTCCTGTTCTCCAACTTCTACCATATGGTACTCCAACGCTATTGATGTACCGAGAAAGACAACCACACACCAAGTGCTCGCCCTTCCTCCCGCCAGGGTGAGAGGCTGGCGACGCCGTGTAGCCCCAGCAGCTGAGTGCATCATAAAGCCCCGATGACACGCACGTAATCTCGGGGAGCAAGGAAAGCGACGGCTTGGGTTGCAGTTTTCGTAAAACCAAACGGCGCCAGCCATTGCAGGTAACGCCAGGGGGCGCCGTGCGCGGAACAGTAAAATAATGTTTCTGATTTTGTTTTCAGAATTCACTCGTACTGCTCAAATATAGCACCGCGCGAATCTTTCCTTACAGCTTTGAGGGTGTCCTCTGGACAGATTAACAGTTACAGCAACACGAAAATAGGGTTTTTACCTTTACTGCTCCAGTTGCACCACCAGATTCCAACAATATTTCTCGGAGCTGGGAAGACCAATGGGTTGTTGTCATGGATCCAAAAACCGCACAGATAAAATATACGCCCGGAATATTTCTAATTGAATCATTTGGTGTCCGCAAGCGTTCAGAGGTACTTCTTTAAAATGTGTCGTCATTTCCGTCCACCTGATGGCCACAGTCTAGTGTCGGGTGTGGGACTTACTCTGTGTGGCCCAGGGAGACTGCAACACCTGGCGTCGAGGTTTTGTGCTGCTGAGATATGCGAACGCGCATACACAAAACTACGTTACATAATTTATACTACTTATCGGTTCTGACTGAGCGTTGAACATGCCCAGACAAACATGGCTTGGCCATGTTCATACAAATTATCGACCCATTTTGCTCTTCAACCTACATTCGTGGAATCCTTGATATCTCCGTACAACCCAGATAAATTTTCTGACGTTTCTGAGTACTATCGCTTCAAAGAGTTCTCTGAACCATACAAAGTTCACCAACCATTGCAAAATGGAGAACACAGGCGTTTTATTTTATGCAGACACTTAACGCATGATTTTTTTCAGTTTATTTGCTATAAACTACAGAGAGAATTGATATCGCGGTAGCGCCTGGCCTTTATTCCAGTAATAAAGATAAAATGTATAGTATATAGTATATATGTATATATGTATACATATATATATATACATATATATATATATATATATATATATATATATATATATATATATATATATATTCATCACTCCTTCCATTCTAACGTTTCGAGATCTTATCTCATCTTCGGAGAAGACTAAATTGCACAAGAAATAAGTTTTGAGTTTTAAAGGATGACAAATTGTGCACTACTGTTGGAAAACATCTTTTGGTACGGAGAACATAAATGAAGCATAACTAATTAAAGAAAGACGGATTATTATTTTCATCTTCATACATGTAAGAAACACTCATAATGGGAACATCACAAAGACACAATGGGAACACTATTGTCACAATCACATCAGAAGTGCTCACCGCCCACCACCTAGTAGCTCAAGAGTTCTGCAAGAATTTGTCTGTCTGTTTAAGGCCGGAGAGAGTTCGTTAATGAATATGCTTTCCCAAATTTGAAGGCGTCTTCTGTCATTGCACGTCCATAAAATGTCAGTACTGTCTGTCAGTTGTTGTCGTGTCAATGTCATGTCGTGTTCCTGTCGCATGTGGTCCAGAGGTGCCCCGTCACGTAAATGCATTGTCAGGCGTCGTGAGAGTGTCGCTGTGGTTACACCAATGTAATTGCACCACTGTCGTTGTAGAGTGTCTTTGTGGTCACACCAATGTAATGACATTGAAAACGAAACACAACGACATATGACAAGACACTTTGACAGCAAACCAAGGCAAGACATCCAACCGACCGTCAAACTGTACTATCAAAATCAAATGACATCTGCTCACAAACAGGACGAAAAAGCTTTACGGGAAATTATCTCTCAACATGTTAAATGCAAAAACGACCACAAAATAGACGTTGTCATTTACTATTGTAATAAGAAAATATCGAACTTTCTTATGAGAAACAGCCCAGACAAACCCGACAAACTGAAATGCACCAATGTAGTGTATCAATTCCAATGCAACATCGAAGGCTGCAAACTTCGTCCCATACACTACATTGGTGTGACCACAACGACACTCACGACGCCTGACAATGCACTTACGTGACGGGGCACCTCTGGACCACATGCGACAGGAACACGACATGACATTGACACGACAACAACTGACAGACAGTACTGACATTTTATGGACGTGCAGTGACAGAAGACGCCTTCAAATTTGGGAAAGCATATTCATTAACGAACTCTCTCCGGCCTTAAACAGACAGACAAATTCTTGCAGAACTCTTGAGCAACTAGGTGGTGGGCGGTGAGCACTTCTGATGTGATTGTGACAATAGTGTTCACATTGTGTCTTTGTGATGTTCCCATTATGAGTGTTTCTTACATGTATGAAGATGAAAATAATAATCCGTCTTTCTTTAATTAGCTATGCTTCATTTATGTTCTCCGTACCAAAAGATGTTTTCCAACAGTAGTGCACAATTTGTCATCCTTTAAAACTCAAAACTTATTTCTTGTGCAATTTAGTCTTCTCCGAAGATGAGATAAGATCTCGAAACGTTAGAATGGAAGGAGTGATGAATATATGAGTAATTTTGTGCGAACCATCTTTAATATATATATATATATATATATATATATATATATATATATATATATATATATATATCTACTATTTGAGAAAACATGACCTCATTAAAGGATGCCCCATATCCGGTGATTTTTTGCGGAATGCAGCCATTTTTAACTTAATAACTTGTTAATCCTTGTTAATCCCGGGGCCCCTTGTGAACCCTGTGCCCCCCCCCCCTTGCCAAGGCACTGGCTGCGCCCCTGGTCCCCGGTTGGACAAGCCACGTCTTAATGAGTTCAATGGCGCGTTATCACTCATGACACACACAGCTTCAAGAGATTTGCAAATAATTAATTATAGCTGTGCAACACCTCTCAAACTGCAAGTGCTACTAATATGAGTAGGGTCTCTGACATGATTAAGAGGCTCGTTTAACATGCAAATAATCTTAGTTGGATACAAAATGTTTGCTTACGCATACTTATAAAATTTCATGAAAACCGTGTTGTCAGAGTGTTAAGTGTATATTAGAACCTCCTAAAAACATTTTGAACTTTTTAGAGGTCTTCAGTGATACGACCCAGTGCCGCTGGAGTGCTGCTTAATAAAGATAACGACCCGTTTGCAGTGTCGAAATTTATGCCCGCTCCGCCGGTTCCAGTCTTATGCAACGTAGTGGAAATGCTCGCTTCATCAGCACCTCACGTCTTAC